TTTCTGCCCCCACCTGTGACCAGCCTTTTCTTTCATTATGTGTCTTACAGAAAGAAGTTCATAGTTTTAAGTTCTAGTTTATCACCAATATTTTGCGTCTATGAATTGTGCTTTTGGTGTATCTAAGAAATCTTTGCCTTATGGACAGTCACAAAGATTTTTGTTTTAAATTTTCTCCTAGAACTTCCATAACTTTAACATTTAGGTGTACAACCTATTTTAAAATTTGTATATGGTGCAAAGTATAGAAAAAAACTTTAGTTTGCATGTTGCCAACTAAGGCATCCATTTGTTCGGGCACCAAGGGGTGACAAGGCCGTCCTGTCCCTCATGAATGGCCGCCCCCTCCGTCAGCCGCTGGGCCGTCTGTGTGGCCCACGTCTGCCCCGTGACCCGCAGCCCCGTCCTTCTGCCGAAAGGACCGCGTCTTGAACGCAGCCGCTTCACGGTGAGCCCCTCCAGCCCCCTGGCTTTTCTCAAAGCCGCCCCGTTGGCCCTTGTCCCGCTGCCGCCCCCCACCCGTCAGAAGCGCTCTGCGGTCCCCCCAGAGCCTGCGGCGGGTCCAGCTGGAAACGCGTCAGGACGCAGGCGGGTCGGCGGACTGACCCAGGCGACACAGCGCGTCTCCCGGCCCAGGTCCGTGGGGTGTCCGTCGGCCGCGGCCCGCCCCCCAGTCCCTTTGTCAGCGCCCCACCGTTTCCAGTGCACAGGCGCCAGCGTGTTCTGTTGGACTGACACCCAACCGCGCCAGTGCTTTAGAGAAGTTACTTCCCGAGTGCCAACTGTTCATAGCTAACATGGAAAAAGGTGTTTGGAAAGCGACCTCACATGTCGCCCACTAAGTGCATTCGCGGACGCTTGCCTGCGGGAGGCGTGTGCAGACTCCCCAGGCCCTTCTGAGGTGCAGCCGAGTCCTCTCCTCTCTGGAGTCCCCTCTCGAGTGAGACAGCTCCTCCTCCTCCTCCCTTCCCGCCTGGGAACCGGCAACGACCTCTTGACACACTGTTCATGTGCTGGTGTGTCTGTCACCTGTTTACTGACATAACACAGATGCACGTCCGTCCACATGACTTGTTAGAGCCCGTGAACCCCACCGTGACCGCGTGGAGGACCTCGGTCTCAGCCTCTGACGCCGGCGGGGGCGTCTCAGCGACTGAGGAGGTGTCATGCGGGCCGCATGCTTCTGGAAGAGTTTCTGTAGAATCGTTTCCCTGGTGCTGGAGAGTTTTCTGTGGGAAAGTTGGGCAAGATTTGAACTGAACAGAGAGAGCGCCATTGAGGCCACTGTTTCTTGTTTGGTGCTTTGTTTTTCCAAAAAATATGTTCCTTTCACACAGGTTTTCAAACAAACCTGTTCACAGTATTTCCCTTATTATCATTTTAGCGCTGCCCCGTGTCACATTTCTGAGGTTGGCCACACTTGTCTCCTACTCTCAGAAATCGACACCAGAGAACAAACAAAGCCCAAGCCGAGCAGGAGGAGGGGACCCTCGGGGCCGAAGCCCATGGGACGGGCAGGGGCGGCCCGGGAAGCAGGCGTCCCCACTGCCTAAGACCGCCCCTCCCCGGCCTGGCCCCGCCTCCTGCCACTTTGCCAGCCTGCAAAGTGCGCCCAGACGGGAACAGCGTGACCGTCACGCGCACCCTTCTGGCGGCTCACGGGGGACCCTCCCCCGGCCACAAGCGGCCGGCCTGCCCCTCTCTCCGCCGCTACTGCCCTGTCCTGCCTGATGGCGGCGGTTCGAAAACCACTGGTTCCCATGTTTTCTGCTTTTGATTTCTTTCTTTTTTAATATTTTATTTATTTGTATCTAGGGTGAGGGGAAGGGAGGGAGAAATAGAGGGAGAAAAACATCAGTGTGTCATTGCCTTTCATGCGCCCCCTGCTGGGGACCTGGCCGCAACCCAGGCCTGTGCCCTGACTGGGAATCGAACCTGCGACCGTTGGATTTGCAGGCCGGCGCTCAATCCACTGAGCCACACTAGCTGGGGCGTGCTTTTAATTTCTCTAAGCAGGAGAGTGGGTTACCTGTTCCTCCATGTTAGCAGAGGAAGATTTGCTCATCACTGTATTTTTTTAAATTGTCACAAAAAAGTTGTGACTTTTAAATGGGCAAAAAATGTCAGGATCCTGCTTAACTCATCCACTGGGGTGTCTCCACCTTGGCTTATCTCTGAGTTGTTTTACAATTCTGTGAATTCTAAAAGCCAACAGTGACGCAAATGCCCCCAGACCGCAGGGACACGGAGTACCCAGGGGGGCGGTAATTACAGGCCAGCTTTGCATCTGTTCTGCAGATTCATTTCAGCACTGCTGGCAGGAGGTCCTGTTTGAGCCACTTAAAACATCCTCCTGGTCCTCTCATTGATAGAATAATAAATATTTATTATCACAATAAAAAAATCTTCAATACTTGCTCATTTTGTATTTGTATGCAAGCCAAAATTATATCAATTTTGCAATTTATCTATAGAATTACTATAAACTTGAACAACCGAAGGTTCATCGATAGAAAACTTTAATCTAATTTAAATGATGACCTATTCATGTGATAACGCACTCTAAAGCCATTAACATGGGTAGTGCGTCTTAATTTACACAGAAAGACTTCCTAGTTTATCCCCCCAAAGGAGCAAGCTGTAGAAACACATTATCTATGGCCGGCTGGGGAAGGCTGCCAACTCCAGCCACACAGACGGTTGACAGGAGGGTGTGGACATCGCACCAAAGGCGGGGCGGGGGGAGGGGTTTATTTATACTGTCCTGCATTGCGCAATTTCCTGAGTGTTATCCAACGAGTAACCGCTAAGCACGAAGGACGCATCAGATGCACTGCTAGGTGCTCAGAACACAGCTCTGAGCAAGGCAGGTGCCTGCCCCCGAGAGCTCTCGCGCAAGGCCGCCGTCCTGGAAGCAGGGAAGGTGGAACCCAGCGACCTCGCCCGCAGTTGGAGGTTAGACCCGACCCCCGAGGCAGGCGGCTGCCCTGCCGCCTGCTCAGGGCTTTCCCGACTCCCCGTGAGCCTGCAGCCCCAGCCCCTGGGCGGCTCACTCCCTTCCCAAGCTGCCCTGGCCGCCCCGCAGGCGTCCTGCCTGCCTCCCCGCAGCGCCCTGGGCACCCCGGGACCAGGGGTGCCCGGCCACTCGTGGCCGGCGCCGCAGCGCCTGGCGCCTCCCACGCGGTGGGCTCTTCCTCTTCTTACAGGGGCACGGACCCTGTCATGGAGCCCCCCCCGTGTGACCTCGTCTCCCCTGTCACCTCCCAGAGGCCCAGCTGCAGCAGGAACGGGGGACGCGCACACGCAGTCCAAGGCAGAGCAGCGCGTGTGCCTCTCGCAGGAGAGAGAAATAAGTAAGTGGGCAGTGGACCGAGGGGGCCCACGGGGCGCAGTCACAGCGTGGGGCGGCCACGACTCTCCATGACTCCCGGGACGGCTTCCCAGGGCCCCACCCCGAGGACGGCCCCGCACCCAAAGAGGGTTCCCACATGGTCCCTTGGGGCCGTCACTGGCAGGACCCCTCCCAGCGGGATGGAGCCAGGCCAGCGGCCCGTTCGCCCTTCCTGGAGGGGCCCCAGCAGCCTCAGACTCTGCTGCACATGGACTTCCCAAGGCCCACTTTTGAAAATCACACAGACAGAAAAACAAAGGGGCAAAGGCCATAGCTTAACGCCACAGGTGTTTCTGCCCAACTAACAGACCCAGGGAGCCGAGAGCTGGCCTGGAGGGCTCAGGCCATGCCTGGGGACTCCCACCCCATGGCCGGGACAGAGGTGGGACGTGGAGCCTGTGCCACCCTGACCAGAGGGGGCCTGCCCGCCCCCAGCCCAGCTTCCTGATGGAGCGGTTACAGGCTGGTCCCTGGCGCCAGGCATCCACCTGGGAAGAGCAGAGTTCAGGCCCCCCAGACGATGGGAAACCAGCCCCCAACTTCCCGAGACCCTCCCTTGGGTGGCCGCTCACCTGCCCTGTCCCCAAGGGCATCCCTTCCTGTTCCTGGGCCTCTGTTGGTCCCCAGGGATACACCTTCTGTCCCCCGACAACCAATGCCGACACCGGGCAGGCAACGTGTGTCAACGAGTGCGGAAGGACCGCCACCTCCGCACACGCCAGGGGACATGCCTCGCCGGACGGCGAGGGCCATCAAGGCCCGCCCCGAGCCTCGTCCACTGGGTCTCCACTGTCACCTCCAGAACGGGGACAGGGCCCTCGCTGCCCGGCCACTGGGCCCTGGGCACCAGCGGGACGTGGGCACAGCAGCACCAGCGGCCCCGCAGCGCCCAGCAGTGACCGCAGGGGCTGGGACCGCGCCGGGCCGTCCTCCCTGCTGCGCACGGGCCAGCACGCAGAGCCCGGCGCGGGGCAGCCCTCCCCGCCCAGAGGAGCCTCTCGAGCGCCCCGCCCAGGACCCGCACGCACGCCTGTGCGCAGGCCCCGCCAAGGACCGTGCAACCGCGCACTGGTCCTTCCTGTTGTGGGAGTGCCCGGGCCGTGCTGGGCTGTGCCCGCCACCCGGGTCCCCGGGATCAGAGCCCTGTCCGCCACGTCACAGCGGCCCCGCAGCCTCCGGAGCACAGCTCTCGGAAGGCAGGGCCACAGCCCACTGCTGCTCAGCGGAGGGTGCTGGGCTCCGGCCTGGTCCCGACGGCACCTCCCTGGAGAGTCACCCGCACTTTCTCCCCGGGCCTCACGGTGGCCCCTCTGCATGGTCTACGTCACACTGCAAGCCCAGGACCCCCCAAAAGGCACCCTAATGCCCCCACAAGCGTTCAGCAGCACCCAGTCCAATAACGAGGCGGCCCCGCCCAGTCCCCTAAATCGCGCCCCGAAGGAGGGGACCGGAAAGGGGCCTGGGGAGGGTGAGGGGCTGGGCTGAGCGAGGCTGAGGTGTGAGGCCCGCCCTCGCCCGCGCCATGCGGACAGGTGTGCCTCCCGCGCAGACCCAGCGCTCGCCACACGGGCAGTTCATCCGGAGGAGCCGCCGTCACACCGCTTCTCACCTGATAAAACTCCCGGAGCCAGTTCTTCTGCAGGTTTTCTGGCTGTAAATTAAGAAGAAAAAAGAAGAGACAGTCAGTCCACTGACACAGCCCGAACAGCTGTGAGCAGAAGCTCCCGTGACGGAGGCCCACCAGCCGGCCACGGGGCGGGGGCGGGGCTCTGCTTGGGGGGCCCACCCCGCACAGGGACCCGCTCGGCACGTGAGGCGGGCACTGCCGCCTCCGTCGTCACCCTCCCAGGGGAGCAGAGAAGATGGCGCCCAAACAGCAGCAACCAGTTAACACTGGGCGGAGGGTTTGAACAGAATGACCAACAAGCACACGGAAAGATGCCGAACACGCTGGCATCGGGAAACGCAGACCCAAACCACGGGAGACGCAGCCGCACCCGCCAGGACGCAGACCCGAGGCCCGAGCCCCAGGCCCTGCTGCTGGGCACGTCCGGCAGGGCTTCCAAGTGCTGAGCACGGAGTCACCATGTGACCCAGCAGCCCCGCTCCTAGGTCCACACCCAACAGAAGGTAAAGCCTGTGTCTGCACAGAGACACGTCCACAGCGTCCCCAGCAGTAGTCCCAACAGCCAGCACGGCCTGAGACAGAATAGCATTCGGCCAGAGAAGGGAGACAGCACTGACCGCCGCGGCACAGAGACGCCTCAAAGACACGGCGCGAGGGGAAGAAGCCGGGCGCCAAGAGCCGATCACGTGCAGCTCCGCCTGGGGGGCGCGCGGAGCAGGCGCATCCCCAGGGACAGTCGCGCGGTCTCTAGCCTCGGCTGTGGTGGCGGCTGCCCCACCCTGTGGACAGGCTGACACCGCCGCCCGGGGTGCCCCCCTCGCCGATCCCACCACCTCGGCCCCGAACGAGGACGCCAGGCCCAGCGGCCGCTCAGCCGTGGGGAGCTCGTTCTGCGCGCGGTGCCGCGCTGCAGTCTTATTTTATGAAAGCAGGAAAAGTGCAAGGTTCGAGCCCAGCGCCAGGAAGGGGAGGCCCCACGGGCTCCACCCGGCGGAGGCGGAGAATGCCGGGGCCGTGCAGCCCAGCATGGCCACTCACGCCACGACTCCACGCCCGCCGCGGGAGAGCCGCCGGGCAACGGAGTCGGGCCGAGAACGCGGCCAGCGTGACCCTCGAGCCTCCGCATGCACGCTCTGCCTGCCAGGCACGGAACCCTCACGTTTAGCTTCCTTCATGCTTTCCCGAAGACGCAGGAAAAGCCTAACTTCTTGGGATCACCACTGAATTTACAGTCTGTTACCCGACTATTTCCCTCAAATCTTATCCCACCAAAGGTAAGGAGTTCAGCAACAAAGCCCCACGTCCTCAGGGAGGTAAACCGGCACATGCCCTCCGGTCCCTGTTCCAGACCAGCCCGCACAGACAGAGCTGCGGGAGCGCACCTGGCACGCCTGACTGTCCCCCGAGACGCTGTCAGAAGAAAGGGCGCAGGCCAGAGCAGAAACAGCTGGAGGTACCGAAAGGCTTTGTCAGCTACTGCTCCAAACTTCTGGAAGACAGACCCTTACACAACCAGGCACAGACAAGCCTGCGTGCATGCACATGCACTCGCATGCACGTGCACACACGAGCACACGCACTTAGGCATGTTCCCCTGCCAAGACCAAAACCCACACTGACTTTTTAACACACACACTTCCCGCTTTCTATAAAATTAGACCTGCCCCCCACAGCGCCCTGCCAAGAGGGCCCTGCCCCGGCCGGGTGGCAGGGCTGCGATTCCACTCAGTCACGCTTGCCGCACTTCGAGTGCACAGGCTCCGTGTCGACGTGACAATGTGGCGGCTCTGCCCAGGGGCAGCTCTGGGCAAGGCTGAAGGCCACACGGGTGCCAGCATCCTCGGAGCCCCAGCCCATGTTTGGTTAACACAGAGTTATTTTTAAAGCCACTAAAATAAGAATAAAAGATAAACACACAACTAGATCTTAGAGAAATACTCTCATTTTAGCCCAAAGTGGAGGCTGTGCTGGACTCTGCCCTAAAAGTAATACTTTAAAATTTTCTTCATGGAGTAGAAAAATTATATAGGTCAAAATTTTTGGATTTATACACAGAAGGAAGAACATTAGAGAAGAAATAAATAGAAGTAAAAAAACCTGAGCAGTCCTGCAGTAAAAGTCACAGCCATTCACGAAAGAATGGGATGGGCCAGGAGCTGGCAGTGACTCCCGCACAGGCAGGGCTCCAGCTTCCTTCCCGCCCCCCCCGCCGGAGGGCGCCCTCCTGGCCATGGGGTGGGACCTTGGCAAGGGAGGGATGTTGGTCCCAAGATCAGGTAAAACCGCCTGGCAAAGGTGAAAGCGCTTGACAGATGTAACTAGTTTCCGAAGTCAGTTCACCTCAGGTGGATCCAAAGGGCGAATCCTGGGCAGGTCTGCCCTTGTCAGGCGCCAGGTGACTCATCTAGAAGAGGCTCCAAGGGTCGGCCCCTGGGGACAGGCCACCCCCACCAGCCCTGCCGGGAGAGCAGCTTCGGTGCTACAGCCCCGCGACCGGCCTCTGCCGGCAGCCCGGGGTGTGCGGACGCCGCCCTCCCCAGCCCGTCTCCGGGGAGGGTGCAGCCCCTGACACCCCGAGCCCTGAGCTGAGGGAAGCCCCCAGGCCGCGCCAGCTTCTGCCTGCAGGGGCGCGAGCCAAGAGGCGGGCATCTGTTCCCAGCCACTGGGTTTGTGGGGACCTGATGCGCGGCAGGGAGGCCAGCACACGCCCCAGCGCGCGCGTCGGCATGCGAAACGCGGCGAAATGAAGACTGTTTGAGACGTTCTTGCCCCACTCAAACTTTATTTTGACATAAGGTGTGTTAAGGGTGTTAAGGGTCAAATTACCATTTTGCCCTAATGGTTAGCCTGCTGCCTGCAACAGACCGTTACACTAGGAGACCCTGGCTCCTGGGTGCTACCATGTGGTCAGTCTATCTGACTGTCTGTCCCTCCCACCTTCCCTCAAATAGTCAGCCTTATCAGGTATGTATTTCATTTATGCATTCAAACTTTTACATCTTAATTTATTGTTTTTATAGGCTTTTTTCTGTTAATTTTTTTAATTCAATAAAATTTGGGTTTGTATTTATCCTATGTTCCTTCCGTTTATGGCATAGTTCTATAATGTAGCTTTTTGAGTGAAATGTTTATTTTTATTATTTCTCGTTTAATAACAACTTCGAGTATCACAGCATCTGTTATTAGAAGTGCTACTCACCACACAGGGAGCTGCACCCCATCCCCCCGGCCCCCGCCACAGGCCCCACCTCGGGAGGAGCTCAGCCCCGCCCACTGCGGCTGGACCTGCCGGAATCCAGGCAAAGACGCCCTTATTCCCACCTCTATTCAAGCGCCTCTCAAATACAGCAGGGAACTAGGTCAGAAAGAGAAGCCAACAGAGGCGCGGTGCCCAGGAGGGAGGACGGGCAGCCCACGTCCGCACACGGCAGGAAAGCACATCCGGGAAACCCAGGGACTCAGTGATGCAGCTGAGAAAACGATAAAAGAATTTAGGGGGAAATCCATTTACAATAACAACATAAAGAAAGATGAAAGTTAGGAATAAACGGTAAAACGTGAGAGTCTGAAGCCCCTGGCGGGGGCGGAAAGCAGGCCTGAGCCCACGGTGAGCTCTGGGTCTCAGGAGGGCACTCAGCGCCGCAGAGCCAGCTGCCTCCACGCCAGCCCAGAAATGACACTGTCCCCACCTGTGCGTGACCCGCCCCACCCCGCCCGAGCCAGACAGGTTGATGCTAAAGGTCATATGGAAAAATACACTATGACTCAAAATCCAAACACCGTTTTTAAAAGGAACGGTAGTTTCAACTACAATGTTAAAAAAAGGGGAAAAAAACCTCTGCATGGCAAAACCAGAGGCAAAATCAAAAGACAAATGTCAAACTGATCAACAATGTTTGTAACATAAATAACACATAGTTACTCTTCCTAACATTTGATGAATTCTTAAAAGTCAAGGAAAAACAACAAAAAGTCTGTTAGGAAACTGGAAAAAGACCCAACAGGAGCCACAGGAAGGGCCTCCCCGGGAGCTTCTGTGTGAAAAGACACCACCTCTCCCGGGTCGGAGCAGGCAGGCGCCCTGGGGTGGGCGCAGGGCGCACCCTGCTCACCCAGGAGTGTTGCTAAAATGATGCCTAACCCAAAACACACTACACACAGGAAAAAGCGAGCAAAGACCCGCACAGTGGGACACCCCCAGCACGCGTGGCCTGGGCTCTTCACACTGGCAAGGCCAGAAAGGCCAAAGGCGGCCGTGGGGGAGGGCGCGGAGTGACAGACCGTGGAGCTGAGACCCCCCAGGTCAGCGTGTGAGCCCTTAGCTCGTGCTCGAAAAGGGGAGTAAGAAACACCGTCGAGGCTGCAGGCAGCATGTAAAGGACTGGCGGGTGCCTCGGCGCTCGGGACAAAGGGCCGGGCGAAGACCACGTACTCAGACCAGATGACGCCCTATGTGGGGGAGCCCCTGACGTCCCCGCGTCCTGATGTTGGCAGCTTACTTTCCGACTGGTCCCCCATCCCACCTGCTCTCCTCCGTCGCCCCCTGCCCCCGGGGGCTGGGCCTGTGCGGGGCATTGGCTAGCCCCTCGGTGCCTCGGCAGAGCAGGTTCTGGCAGGAAGGACGGGAGCCCCGTGGCCCTCGGAGGAGGGCGGGCGGGCGGAGAGGGGAGAGCAGAGAGCGCAGCTCGCGCCGAAAAGCCAGCCCCTCCATCCGCCTCTCCCCTCTCCCCAGCTGCAGGCGCTGCCCCACCCAGCCCCTAGCGGCCTCCTGCAGGCAGTGGCCGGGCCAGCGTGAGGGCCACGTTGGCCTTGGTGGCTCATCCCGCCCGCACTGGTCAACACTCTGAGTCACTGCCCTCCTAGCGTCCCTGGGGACAAGCCCCACACACTGCCCGGGCGCCCCGCCACCGCCGTGTGGGCGTGCCATCTCCAGCCAGCCCTCGCTCCGCGGAGCCCGTTGCTGCCGCCCTCCCCCCAGCACCGCCTGCTCAGCAGCCTGTTCGCAGAGAAGAGCAGCAGGACCA